CTTGAAGTCATTTCTGATAAGAGAGAACCGTAATTCTAAATTTTAGTGCACATTCACCTCAATAACGAGCTTTTTATATAAGTTTCTGTTAACCGCTTTATAGGCAAAGCTCATGGAAAAAAGTGTTCTAGTGACACTTTTGCGATCAAGAATAGGAGGATAACGAAGTGCTTACTTTGTGAAAAATTCGGTTGTTTTTCTAGCAGGAATGGCCAATGGAGTGATCAGATAACGAAAAGGATTATATAGGCTATACTAAACAACCGCAGCTCCGGAGTTACTTATTTATGACTAACGATAAACCAAGGGACTGCATTTCTTTGTGGTCGCGTGACACCTTTGTGTCCCCGTTTTTGTAAATAAATGTGGTAACAATTGCATATTTAATTGGAAAAAAAGAATGTATATATAACTTTTTAATTGATTTTATTAATAGTAAATATACAGTATATAGATTACCTATGTTTTTTTTTAATTAGATGCATAAACCATCGGCACGGGATCGCGGATCACTATTTGTTAAGATTCTTTTTTTCCGATTCAATCAAGTAAGCTCCTTTATTAGGGCACAGTATATCCTCACGTGTTTTGATACTGTATTTAGGTCTTTTTTTTTTTTTGGTGAAATCTATTTCGTTTAATTTCAAGATGTCTGATGATATCCCCAATCCTGATAACAATGAGACTACTTTAAAGCCAAAATCAAAGAAATATCGAAAAGATAAACGTACTAATTCCGTTGTACATTGTAACAATGTTTAAACTTAAATAGGCACATGTTTAACGAGATTTTGTATATTGCATAGCATGGGATAATGAAGATATAGATCATTGGAAAATAGACCCATTTACTCATGAAGACAATTCGCATCCTTTCACGGAAGAATCGTCGTTTGCAACTTTGTTCCCCAAATATAGGGAGAACTACCTGAAAGAGGTGTGGCAACACGTTACTAAAGCTTTGGAGAAAGTGGTATGTCTGCCTTATTTCCATGTGAAGATTTAGTGTCTTATGATTTTGAAAATTCTTCGCGTATTCTTGACTGATTGAATCGAAATCGATGTATAGGGCATAAAATGTCTACTGGACCTGATTGAAGGCAGTATGACCGTGAAGACTACAAGGAAAACATTCGATCCTTATATAATACTTAAAGCACGCGACCTTATAAAATTGTTGGCTAGGAGCGTTCCGTTCCCTCAGGTCGGCTCAGACAATAAGATTGATTTAATGTCTCGATCATAATTATTAACGAATTGATTTTAGGCGGTCAAAATTCTTGATGACGGCGTAGCGTGCGACATAATAAAAATTGGCAATCTCATAAGGAATAAAGAGCGCTTTGTAAAACGAAGGCAGAGGTTAATTGGACCAAATGGCTCAACGCTTAAGGTATGAGTATATCTTTGAGATCAATTCTTATCTACCATGATATATGCGTTTCTCTAATCTATTTTTAATTTTTTAGGCAGTAGAGCTATTGACTCAGTGTTACGTCATGGTTCAGGGAAATACGGTGTCTGCTATGGGACCGTATAAGGGTTTAAAGGAAGTAAGAAAGATTGTGACCGACTGCATGAAAAATATTCATCCCATCTATCACATAAAGGTATGATAACTAATTACCTTTACCGTCCCTTTAATTCTTTTAAATATTCGTCATTAAGTATTATTTTTCTATTTATGATGAATAAAGGAACTGATGATAAAAAGAGAACTCGCCAAAGATCCCAAATTAAAGAATGAATCTTGGGATCGTTTCTTGCCTCACTTCAAAAAGCAAAACATCAAAAGACCCAAAAAACAAAATATCAAGAAGAAAGAATACACACCCTTCCCCCCTCCCCAGACCCCAAGCAAGGTTAATATGATTAGATTTCAAAATCTCGGAATTGTTTGATAGTAATTTTAGCGGCGTTGAGACTTATTATTATCTATTGTTTAGATTGATCTGCAATTGGAATCTGGAGAGTATTTTCTCAATCCTGAAGAGAAAGTTTCGCGAGAGATGGAAAAGAAAAAGGTAATCTTTGGTCTGCTATTAACTAAAATACAAATATCATGCTCATTTTCTTCCTGCTCAAATTCTCTAGGAAAAACAAAGGGAAAATGTGTTAAAACGACAAGCAGAAAGGGAAAAGGCATTCGTTCCTCCGGTGGAAGATTCCCGGAAGAAAAAAGTGAAAGTAAAATAATAGGTCTCCCGTGTGTTTTATATTTTAATCGCCATAAGTGTATGCTTACCAACTTTTGTTATAATCAACTATTCTACCTTATCAACCTTATTAGTAATTTATGTCTAATGTTGGGTTGTAACCAAAGGATAAAATTATCTGTGATATATTAAAAAATATGGTTGTTATGCCGTATATCATTATTATTGAAAATATTAAAATAATTGCGCGCTTTGTATTTAACACATAATTTCGACCAGAATTATAAAAATTTAGCCCTGAATGCGTCACAATACCTTATATCTGAAACTATTCAATTCGAAATTATTTTTTAAATTTAAATGCAATTGGAATCATTATTGTTAATCAAATAAAATTAATAAATAAATTTTGAACTTTTAATATAATAAATTTAATTTTACTTAAAAAACTAATTTTATTTATTTTATTTTATTTAATAAAATTTAATTTACTTGAAAAATTAATTAAAAATTTTTTTAATAGTGCTAGCGAAACCTTTATTGATTGTTGATAGATTCTAAGGACAACTGGGATGAATAATTACTTATATTGTCTAAGGATTTATTGATCAATGAATAATACAAGAGATATCTATTTACATCTTATTTAACAAGAATAAGAAAACTATGTGATTATTTAATATAGGATTTTTTTTTTATTCATAATAAAATTAAAGAATCTAGAAATATTTTTTAACTAAAATTTAATAGAATACTTCTGCTATTTTAAATTTTGTTTAACAAAGCAACATTTTCTAGGATAATAATCCACCAGGTAGCTTATAACTATTTCTTTTATAGAAAAATAATGTGTTAAAAACTTATCTAATATACTTAGCACTACTAATGTTAGAGATTTTTTATACAAAATCTTTATAATTTCTATTAATATAGAAATTTTATTAGAAACCTATCTTATTTTGAATATTGTAATATCATATAATTTATATTTGTCTCTTATAGAAACCTGTTTTATTTTTCCTAATTGTTAAACCACTTTATAATTTAACTTTACTATTTGATTAGAGATTGATTTTATTTTATTTTTTTTTTTTTAATCTGCAATCATGCCACGATGGCTTGTCTTTATTGAAAAATTGAAGTAAATTTACAATATTTTATAGACTTTCACAATGTGACTAAACCATCTTCATACAAAAGTATTCTAAATCAGATTTTGGGA